TCATCTGAACTAGGTCAGGAGTTAGGCATTTCACGTAAACTAATGCCACAATACTTTGGGCCCTGGGAGATCTTAGACATTGTAGGGGATCAACTGGATGGACCATCATACGTGATTCGCATTCCTGCGCACTTACGCACTTACCCTGTGTTCCATGCCTCCAAGTTGGCACCTTTCGCTGCCACTCATCAGTTTCCCTCAAGAAGATCAATGATGCCCCCAACCATGGATGGCGAAGTGCAAATTGACAAGATCGTGGAGCATCAAGTGATGCCAATACCTCGACCACCACGCAGAGGCCGCCCTCCTAAGCCAAGAATGCAGTATCGTGTGAGATTCGGACATCATTTGGATCCTAAAGAAGATCGCTGGTTCCCATGAGCGGAACTCATGAGAACAGCACCTCAAGTGATTGCAGGCTACGAAAGAGAACTCAAAGGGAAGATGTCTGTAGAGTAACAGACTTCTAAGAGGACTAACGAAGTAAAGGAGGAGGGAATGCGAGGATCTGGGTCCTCGACAGGCTTGAAGGGGCCCTTGTTGCAAGAGTGCCCGCCCTAAGTGAAGGCGGGTCTAACATATCACAAGGGGCCCTCGACTGCCAAATTCATATTTGGGGTCCAGGCAGTTGCGACGCGTCACTTGGTTGAGAGGAACCCAGGCCGAGCTACAAAGACATTTCTACGACCTTCTGGGCCTTTCCAAAGAATGCAGGCCCTGGGCGAGAATCGCAACATCATACACTGACAGTTGGGAGACCCAACCGCAAGAGGCCCAGTAGCTGCACACAAGCGCAGCATCCTGGGGCCTACCGGAAGCTTCTGGGCCCAGGCCCAGCCCAGCCGGGCTGCGCGAGCAGGTCAACAATTTCCATATAGGGAAGAGCTTTCCCCGGCCAGCCTCATTCGGGCACTTGTTGGCTGGCAGCAGCGCTGCTGGAGCGATAGCTCGCGTGCTGGCTGCAAGCATTGGAGCGAGAGGCTGCGCACGTGCGGTTGTGTGGTGAAGCAGGGCGCTGCTGAGGGCAGCGCCATAGCCCAGCCTCCATAGTTGGTTGTGGGTTTTGACATACAGTGAGGCACAGGGGTGGTCTTCGGTTGTACAGAGGGAAGACGTAAGGGAGAGACAAGGGAGAGAGAGAGAATGATGATGATGATGATGATGTGAGGGCACATACCTGGTATTGGCGTTGGTTCTGCATGGCGACATCTTCAAGTACTTCGGGTGCTGCTAACGTCAACAGTTGCATTGTCAATTAGTAGGCTAGTAGTAGTTGTGTAGGGAGTAGGTTGGGCGTCGAGCGCCAAGTAGGGAGATAGAGACTGGATACATATGTTGGTGGTGGCGAGAGCAAGCTCTCATTGACATTGACTTTCAGTGCTACGATTCTCCATTGGTGTTACATTGGTGCAATGCTGCTTTCTGAACAATGTGTTACGATTTGGCTTTCAATGTGATTGTGCAATCTGAATATTGTCATCTCACTTGTGTTCATTCTCCTCGCAAATTCGAATCGGAATTAATTTATTTTAATTCCTGTATTTTTTGAAAATTATCTTCTTTTGATGTTGTTTTACCCGTATAAATAGGACCTCCTCCCGGGCATGACACGCACAACCAGGAAATCTCAACGAGCATTCGCCGATGTCGTCGACGCCGCCGCTGTTGTCGCTGCCTCTACCTCAGCTGCTGCTACCACCGCTTCCTCCCCCACCATGGCCCAATCATCCAGCATTGATATGTCCGACATCCACACGGACTCCGTCAACAGTTTGTAGGCGAGCAAACACCAGTGCCCAATGCCACCCCCGACCTCGCAACACATCTCCGCATGATGACATCCTCCACTCATCCATCGAGGACTTCAAAACATCCATTTCCACCATCTCTACCTGCGTTATCGCTATGGAAAATTAAACCCCCGCCATCTAGGTCGTTGCCACCACGTCCGCCCCCCCCACCTCGGGTGTCACCACCCTTCCCCCTCCCTCCACTTCCACATCTACACCAATCACCTCCTCCCCCACATCCACGACCCTCTCCGCCAGCCCGTCATCCACACTCCCGCCCTCATCTACCACTACCCCCACCGTAGTCACCCAGCCGACAACCCCCGTCGTCACACGATCGTCGACCATTCCCCCTCAATCGAAACCCATTTTGACTTCATTCGTTATCACCTCCACCTTCCCTAGCTATACCCAGATTACTCCACAAGCTATGTATCCCACTCTCCCACTACTCCCCCCCATGCTCTCATCCCGACCAACCCCACCAACGGTTTCACCCTGGTCAACTCTTCCTCTCTCACTCTTGATTTCAATGCCCTTGCCGCCACTACCCCAAGAGGATGCAAAATCCCTCCATCCTTCCGCACCAACGAAATTCCCACCTTCTCAGGCCAACCCCATGAGGATATCTTCCTCTTTCTCACCAAACTTCAACAAACCTTCTCCCTCCACAGTATCCATGTCGTCCATTGGCTCCCCATCCCCGGCAGCAGACTCCTAGAGAGCGCCGCTTACTGGTGGTACACTGAACTGACCAACCGCCATCACACCTATCTCCGACCTCATACCTTGCTTGAGTGGGCCACCCTCATCACCTCCACCTTGCGTCCACAGAAAACAGTCGACGACTACATCGACCAATTTTGTCGGCTCCAACAAAACGGCCCAACCGACCGTTTTATACAATACCTTCGCTCGCTTCGTCAACATATCCCCATCGATATCATCAGCGACCTCGCATTCATCTCCCTCGTTAAGCTTGTATGCCGTAAAGACCTAGCGGCCTCCTTCGTCCGCGAGCCACCCATGACCCTCACCAACCTCCTCGCTCGTGCCTTCCAAATCGACCGCATCTTCTCCCCCTACAAGACCCCACTTACATCAGCCCCTCCCCGCCCTCGCTTCTTCCACGACATCGCCTCCGAAGACACCACCTACACCACCTCCTCGCACGAGTTCACTGCCCCCAACCCCAACATCCTCTCCGATCCACTAGACACCACATCGCTCTCCCCCGACAAACTCTCTGCCATCCACCTCATGCGGATGGAGAGGAGAGAACGCACCCGTCTCACGAAACTCACGTTGAAGGAGCGAACCTACCTCCAAGCTAAGGGTGGATGTTTTCGGTGACGACAGTTAGGACATCAGCAGACAAGCTGTCCAAATGCTAGACATTTCACACATCAGGCGCCCAAGACCACAACTCCCCAACCTGCCGTTTCCGCATCTGCCACTCTCGGCCCCTCCTCCACTTGAACACCATCCCCATGATCACCACCCACCCGGCCCGGCATCGATGACTAGTCTGCAGGCCATCCCATCAGTGACGATCTCCAACCCGCCAGTGACCCATTTGGCATCGACAATACGTTTGCTTCTGCCCTCTCCGCTGGACGAGAAGGTTAACAACAGTCGTATTTTTCATCACCACTTCAGGACACCCTTCACCACCTCAAGATGCAGCCTCCCTAAACAGGTGATTTTCAGGGTCTTCGGACCTTTCACCACTTCAGGACCATTCAGGTATGAAAATCCTGAATGGTCCTGAAGTGGTGAAAGCTCCGAAGACCCTGAAAACCACCTGTTTAGGCAGGCTGCATCCTCAAGTGGTGAAGGGTGGTTTTCATGGTCTTCGGACCTTTTACCACTTCAGGACTATTCAGGATTTTCAAACTGCCCAAAACTCTCACTTGACCACTTCAGGACACCCTTCACCACTTCAGGATGCAGCCTGCCTAAACAGGTGGTTTTCAGGGTCTTCGGTTCTTTCACCACTTCAGGACCATTCAGGATTTTCGGACTGCCCAAAACTCTCACTTCAGAATTTTCATTCCCGAATTTTCAGCTACCCGCTAACCGCTTGTGCTCCGCTGGATGACCCCCAGGCGTTGCAACCCTCGTCACCTGACGCCCCCCTCACTGCCACATGTTCCTCAACCCTCCTTTCGAATTCATCCTCTGTCACCTTCTCTGATGTAGTTGAGGAACAAGTCCGACTCGATTGGCTTGTCCGATTAGGCAATGAACAACTTCGCCTCAACACCATTATCTCCATCGCCAACTCATCACGCTTTCACCTCAAATTCATCGCCGCCACCCTTGATGCGTCTACGACTAAGTTTTGGGCCCTCCTCGACATTGGAGTCACCGGTAACTTCATCACCAACACGTGTGTCTGAAAAGTTTATCTTACCTCTACCGGTTACGACTCCCCAATTACGATTCGTTTAGGAAACAAAGACACCACCGTCGTAGTAGACCGCACGTTTCCCGAGACCACTATGACTGTCGAAAGCCTTCGCAGCCTAGTCTCATTCGATGTCATGCACTTAATATGCGACATCATTTTGGGAAAACCATGGCTGGACCGCTACATGCCATACTCGTTCCACCCCAACTTCCTCCGCCTTACCAACCCCCCTGACACAACTATCGACATTCCCTATCTCCCCTATCCCTCCTCCCCAAGCTCCGTCACCGCGCACCAATTCCTTCACATGGCGCGCGTATACCCTGACTCCACCTACTATTGCCTTTGTCCTTGAGCGCGAGCGTCCGGAGGACTTGCTCCCAATGGACAACCCGACCAACCCCCTCCTCCGACCCCACCCTCACCTTCATCCTCGACGAGTTCAAGGACGTCTTCCCTGATTCCTTGCCCGCCGGATTACCTCCGGATCATGGCATATCCCACACCATCGATTTGGAGCCCGGTCACTCTCCACCTTGTCACCCTCCGTACCAACTCTCTGTGTCGGAAGCCGAAGAAATGAAGTGGCAACTCGATGAACCCCTTGAAAAAGGATTCATTAAGCCGAGTTCATCCCCCTTCGGCACAAGTTGCCTTTCCGTCAACAAAGGCGAAACATCGGAACTCCGAATGTGCACAGACTACCGCACCTTGAATCGGATCACGATCAAGAACAAGTACCCCCTACCTAGGATCTTTGAGCTTCTTGATCGTCTCCGTGGAGCCAAATATTTTACCAAAATTGACCTTCGCAATGACTTTCATCAGATCTGCATCCGCAAGGACACCCACAAGACCACATTTCATTCTCGCTTCGGGCACTACGAGTTCCTCGTGGTGCCCAATCGGACCCACCAACGCCCCGCCACATTTCAATCCACCATGAACCATATCTTTCCCGACCTCCTCGAAGTTTGTGTCGTCGTTTACCTCAATGATATCCTTGTCTATAGCCCCACCTTTGAGTCTCACCTTCAGCATTTCCGCCAAGTCCTCACTATCCTCAGAGAGCAAAAATTTTACGCCAAGCTTAGCAAATGCACCTTTGTCGCTTCAAGCGTGGAATACCTTGGCCGCATCGTCTCCGCTGAAGGTATCCGCATGGACCCCTCGAAGGTCACCGCCCTCATCGAGTATCTAACACCCAAGACCCTACTCCAACTTCGTTCATTTATCGACCTTGCCAACTACTACCGCCCCTTTATCAGCAACTTCTTCGACAACTCGTACCCCCTCCACAAACTCACCCACAAGGACGAACCCTTCACTTGGAACGACCGTCGCCAAAACGCCTTCAACTTCCTCAAACAAACCATCACCACGGCCCCCGTCCTCAAGATCGTCGACCCCTCTCGACACTTCTACGTTACCACTACTGCATCCAAATTCGCCCTTGGAGCCGTCCTATCCCAACACTTCCCTCGCGACACCTCCAAAACCCTCTTCATCAAAGACTGCCCCACCCACCCGAGGCTCCACCCGACGAGTACCCCATCGCCTTCGCTAGCAAGAAGCTCCTTCCCGCGGAGATGAACTACCCCTCCAACGAGAAGGAACTCCTCGCTGTGATCCACACCCTCAAAGTCTGGCGCCCATACCTCGACAGACAGCACAGACAACACCATCGTTTCCTCTATCATCACCAAGAAAGACATCGCATCGCGCCAAGCCCGTTGGTTAGACTTTCTTGCCCAATTCACATTCACAATTTGCCACACCCCCGACAAAAGCAACCGCGTTGCCGATGCCCTCTCTCGACGACCCGACCACAAGCCCTCCACGAAAGTCTACACCACCATGACTTACATCCAACTCCTCCCATCACTCCACCACCGCTACACCCAAGGCTACCTCTCGTGCTCTGATTTCTCAACAATCTACAACAAACTCCGTGACCTCGACCCAGCCCCCGAATACTCCCTTCACGACCAACGTTTTTACACCGACACCAAAGGCACTCACCAACTTTGCATCCCCGATGCACGTGGCCTCCGTACATAGCTCTTGGACGAGCATCACGACGCCAAGACTGCGGGACACCTCGGGTTCCAGAAAACCTTCGACACCATCTCTCAACACTTCTACTGGCCTTCCCTACTCGCCGACATCAAAGCTTACATTCGCTCATGCCCCACATGTCAAGCCGTCAACCCCTCAAACCGCACCAAGCCCGACAAGCTACAATCATTGTTGATCCCCACCAACCAGTTGTAGTCCATCTCCATGGACTTCGTGTGCGGTCTGCCCAAAACCGACCGCGAACATGATTGCATCTATGTCACTGTTTACCGCTTGACTAAACCCGCCTACTTCATCCCTTCCACCACATCACATAACCCCAAGGACGTCGCCATTCTCTTCTTTGACCATTTCGCACGACATCACGGTCTCCCCGAGAACATCATCACCAACCGTGACCCTCGCTTCCTTTCACAATTCTGGAAACACCTCTTTAAATCCTACGGAACCACGATCAAGTATCGCACTGCATTCCACGTATAACAACGTTGTCTGCCCTTCCACTGGCATGTCCCCGTTCTACCTCGACCTTGGCTACCATTCTCGCTTGCCCTCCGACTTCTTGCTCCCTTCACAACTCGACCCCTCCACCCCCTGTCCTTCTCTCAAAAAATGGGTAATAACAATGAAAGGACTCCTCAAAGAAGCTACTGAAGCCCTTGAACGAACACAAGAAGAACAAGTCAACAAGACTAACAAACACAGACGTGACGTATCATTCAAAAAAGGGGACAAAGTCTGGCTCTCCTCCGAACGTTTTGAACCCGAATACGGCTTGTCCAAAAAACTCTCGAACAAGTGGCTTGGATCGTTCCCTATCATTGAAAATACCTCCCCCGTTTACTACAAACTCCAACTTCCCCCCTGACATGAGTCATGTCCACCCTGTCTTCCACGTAGAATACCTAAAAGAATACCATGAATCCCCACCCCAATTCGTTGACCGCCCATATCCTAGACCTCCACCAATCATGTTACCTACAAACCCTGAACTCGTCGTCGAAGCCATCATAGGACAAAGAACTACTCAGGTATCTGACCACCCTGAACCAATCACAGAAGACAAAGTTAAATGGACAGGATACCTTAACGAAGAATCAACATGGGAACCTTTTGCTAACCTTACCAATGCTATGAAACTTGGTTGCGCCTATAATCGTGCTCACCCTATATCCTAGATACATATTTTAACTCAAACCCTAAACCCTTGCATAAGCCCCACCTTGACCGCGCCAAAACCCCACATTCCTACTCTACACCCCCCCCTGTACCCAGCGAAGCCCTTGCCTCTTGACCCCCCCCGTCTGATCCGCTCTTGCCTTCACCTTACCCCGTTCTCCCATCTGTCCTCCGCCACATCCTTGCCTCTCTTCTCCAAGTTCTCTATGTGGCTCCTGCGAGTTGCCGACGATAATGGATCTAATGGCAAAGTGCACGAGGACGATGTCATGTTGCAGCTCGTACAGTTGGTTGCCCACCATGCTGTTACCTATGGCCAGCCTACGAATCTCCCTCGGCAGCGGCCGTCGGCGACCAAGTCCGCGGCCGCGACCAGGTCCGCGACCCCGTGGATGCGACCGCGCGGCCGCGCGACTTTCCGGTCGCATGGCAGCAAATGGGAGGGGCGGCGGGGGTTTGGGAAGTGGCATGGGG